TAATTGTGGGGAAAAAATTCGCTACAAATCTATCAACCAGTTGCGGAGATGCTGCGAGATATCGTCTCGCAGACCCCCCAGAATTGCGACGCCACTGGATATTTTGGAAATTGGACAAGTGCGTTGAATTCCAATTGTTTCTAACAAAAAAGTCTTCTATTTTAAAAACAAGCCATTTTGGAGTCATTATTTTTTTAACGTTAACATAAGCCTTTGGCTAAATCGAAAATAACTCCAAGACTATTCGGTTCTAAAAGAAAAATATAGAAATTGTGTAATAGAAATTAAATTTTAAATATAATGTAATTATCAAGAGTCCAAAAGATAATTGTCGTTGCAATTTTAAATTTTCCAATGGACAACAATTACCTAAAAAATTATAATGAATATTTTAACTAAATATTCCTATAATTATTACATTTATAAAAGTAATATAAAGTAAGAAGGATAAGTATAGATTTAGAAATAAATAAAACGATCGGGTCAAAATGAAAACGTTGATTTTCCATTTGAATCTCTCGAAAGACTGAATGGAAAATTTACAAAAATTATTAAACCAGATAATCTAAGGCCCAAAAAAAAACACGTTGCCAATGTATTTTACTATGAATCAGTGACGTCGAAATTCTGTAATTCTTAGAGACGGTAACTCTCAGCCAATAGTTGACAGATTTGTAATACAAATCGGCCAATTTTTGCACATAATTAGTGGTCATGAGCCTGTTTTATCAATCACTTTAAGAGATATTTTAATAAATAATAAGTTATACTACCTTTTTTATACGAATTTTTTTCATATTTAGTGATGTTCTATCACAGATAAAGATTGGCGTGTACAATTGAGGACACACTGTATTGTTATGAATTAATTTTACTTTTCCGTACATTGATAGAAATTATTGATTAAAGTTTAATATGTGATTGAATATTAAACAATTTCATATCCCGAACAGCCCTACTGAAAAGTCACTAGGGACATTGTTAATTAGCTCGGGTAATTAAAAGGGATTTTTATAAATAAACATATGTGATCTATTTATGTATGTACGACTTTAGGGGACCAAAATAAATCTTCACAAAGTAGAACGTTACGCCTAAAAAAAAGTCGCTAAAATGTCAGAAGTTTTATATAGCGAGGAAGAAAAGCATAGAAGGACTTCCGACTTTTATATCAGCACATCAAGCAGGACATTGTGCAATCTTACACCCTACGTTATTATTCTTACCTTTACATCCTCTCAAAATGTGGTAGCAGGAGCTATTATCGACTTACTTAATAAATTCCCAAGGAACAATTGAATTAATTTATCTCCACACAGCCGTCCTCCATAATTTTATATTTTTTCTCTATGTCGGCAATTTTATGAATCGAGATTTTAAACTGCCTTTTGCAGGAGTTCGCCATCTAGCGATTGAAGCGTTCAACTACAACATTGATCTCGTCGCGCGGTTCCTGCTACCAGCACGAGTTAATTTGAGGGTTTCCTGCCAAGTTGCGCACTTTGAGGCTTATGTAATGGGAAAATAATTCCGTTTATCCGTCGGAATTTTTATATATGGTTGTGGTTTAAGAGTGCAGTATTGTAGATAATGTAACCTAAATGCGAAAAGTGTGTGTTTTGGAGCGAAGTTTTTATTAGTTCCTGAAAAATGCATGTTTTGCTTATTTCTTGCTTGTAGCTTCAGGTTATGCTTTGCTTAGAGCTTGGATTTCGTAGATGTTTATGGAAATGTCTCTGTGCTAAAATAGGTACACAATAGTTGTAAATTGGAGAACGTTTGGAAAACTTAAAAAAAAATGAAGTAATTTCAGAAACATTCATTATGTTTTGTATCTTTTAGTTTACTCATAAGTTTTCTATTACTTGTGTAGTGTATCGGCGGCTTTGTGAAAAATGTCTGTGATTAATTTTGTCGAAATAAACAAAAAGAAAATTTTTAACATTTAAAGCGATGTCCAAGGGGTCTACAATCCTTCAAATATGTGATATGAAACCCAGTATTTATTTAGTCAATTACTGAAGAACAGTAAACATAAACCTCAAACTTCGTACAACCCAATTTTCTCGTAGTTGTCCACTGTGGGACTTGAATCCTAAATTCGTTTTTGAAATACAGGTTGTTAAAATTTTTGAAAAATTTAAGTAAATGTCTCAGGAAACTGATGAAACTTATACTAGTTATTAAGTAACGATAAAAATTTACTGAACTCTGTATGTTAACCAGTGGCGTAGAGGTTAGAAGAAACTATAAAACCACGAACCCCACAATTTCAACTCGACTTAGTATTATGGAAATTCTATGAATGCGTTTAATTTATAATTGTATCTACTTCAATGAAAAAAGATCTCATCCGGAAAACGGATAATTTCTTTAACTAAAATATGCTTTCCACGTAGTTGAATAAATCGGCAATAATTATAAGACTACGTGTTTCACAGAAAAGATATCGGTAGTTATTTTTAAGTGATTTCAAATGTGATGTTTTCTAGTTTCCAAAACAAGTTTTAAATTTTTTAGGGATATTATTAACTTTACTCCAAAGATTTTTGTGTACCTACTATCGATAATCACAATATATTTAAGTGTAGGTATATTTAATAAGAAAAAGTCTTTTCTGTGGAATTCTAATAGTTTTAGAATTATTGTTTTGATTTATTTAAACAAGTGAATACCTTTTAGGTATAAAAAGTGGTAACTCAGAAATAGTACGTTTACAAAATAAAATAGAAAATAGATATTTTTCTTTCAAATTAGGCATTAAATGCATCCTTAGAATTTCTAAAATAAGCAGTGCTTGCCAATAGCTCTGTCACTGATAATTGACAATTGTATACAATTTCAGTGAGTTTTTATGTTTACCCGGTATACAATAATCATCTTCTGATATAGGAGTAATTCAGTATAAAATTGTTTCGGCTATTATGCCATCATTAGGGACGAGAAAAAATGACAGTCACTGGAAAAGAAATTGCTGCATAAGCTTACTAATAAATAACATTATAATTTTGTTTAAATATGAAAGTATCAGTATATTTAAAAAAACTTATTTAAGTTATCCTAATAGATTGAGGAGATACGATAAATTATTATTAAATCTCTTGATATCTACTGTTAGTTTTATTTTTAATATAGCACACTATATTTTTCTATTATATTTATTTCGTGACTGAACAAATTATATATCAGCCACTTTAGCGGTAATTGGATAAGTTCACAAACAAAAAAAATATTTTTTCTAAAGGTCTACGGATACAATTTATATACAGGGTGCTACAAATTAGTAGGGCAAGCCGTTAACCATATATTCATAGGACTAAAATAATGGGACTTATCCATTTTTCATTTTGGAGCCTCTTTTTCAAAATATAAGGCGTAAAAATCAAAATTTTAAAAATTATTTTTATGGATGTCTCCGGTGATTTAAAAATATTTGTTTATTTGGCACACATTTTTATTTCAGAATATATTTTTTTTAGATAGAGCGTTCATCTATTCTATTGTTTCACTCTTATAAGATTTTGATTTGGGGCTCGGTTTACGAGATATTACAACTTTTTTGGATATATGAAATTAACCAGTATACTGCGTACAAATAAACAGCAACAATAATCATCAATTTGTTCAACTTCCAATTTGACTGAAAATCAGTTTCACCCTCTTATATTTTAGATGTATCAAATAAAAGTTTTAATTACGATTCTTTCATCGTAAAAAAAACAAGCATTTCAAATAGATTTTTCTCGCATATGGAACGCCACCCAAGACGAGAGTGCTCATTTAATCTACAATACTTCGAAGTTTTCGATTTTGATAAAAAAATTAGAACTATCAGTTGACCCTCCCAAATGTGGCGCCTATGGTTACAATTAAAAAAATCATATTTACATCAGTTCCGAACACCCTGTATATCTCAGGTTATATGCCCACTCCTTACTTGTCGACCTTCAGTCCGCATTGTTCCCTGTGAACTTCCCCAGTAGCGCTTACTTAACACTTGTGCCACTGATCCAAATATTCTTCTAATTTTAAATCCTCGGTAGGTATCTATTTTATAAGCGTTGCATCCAACTCGTGATTGCATTGGCAAGTAGCGGATGCACTCCCATCGCGCGGACACAAAAACATAATTTGGCAGTGCATAGCCTTGCATAATGACACGGCGTCCTTCAGTCCAGGCCGGAGCATAGTGTGGGGCCCCCCGGGATTGGCGGTGGTTCTATAAAAAACGTGCCTGTCCTACATCGTACTCTTTATACCTTGCGTTTCGCTGTAAGCAAATTACAAATATTTTGTTATGTATAATTAGGTAATTCTCAAAAATTGAATACTGAATCCATAAATAGTTTTCATCATATATGTGTTTAGACGTAGTAATTCTCGCAAATATATATTTGTTGCGATCAATCGACTAACATTTAGTTTCTAGTTAAAATTTTTAATATCTTCCTTGTAATTGAATATGGATAATCTGTACAATGTTATATAGAGTATTATGAGTCATTATCCCTGAAAAAAATTTAATTGCTATAATTAAAATGGCTAACTACTAAAGGCATTAGACACAAAAGCATACGCATATCATTTTTGCAAAATCCAAGAGTCACTTGTACTAATAAAATAACTTAATTAAGTGATCAATCATTAGGTATCAATATTTACTGACATAAATATAATTGTATGTTTTATTGGTTACTGTTTATGTAGTATTACTTAAGAACAATCAATTTTTTCTCAAAAATCAAGTGAATTGGCTTGCATTCTGCAATTTTTAGTGGCTATGACTAATAACCGGGAACGCCCAGTACAAACAGTAGTCCGTCCTGTTAGCGAAGACGACTTGTGTGCATATGCACGCGAATCTCGCATAGGAAGGTGTTTTATTTTAAGAGCATAGCCTCCTGGATGAGGCATTTGTTGGGCGCAAATCGCTCAGCTGTTTTAACATGTCCGGCCACAGCCACTTTGATATTAGAGTGAGTCGGCCGAGGAGCCTTTCAGCGGGCCTGGCTAATAAAAGTGTTTTAATAGTGTTTTGAAAATTGATCCGTTAAGTGGTGATTAAAAACTCTGTGATTATTTAATTTTTCCTGTGCTATTGCCTCTTGGAATTATCGCTGATGATGTGCGTCATTTTGGGATATTTTTTGGAGAGGTGTCAATTTTTCCCTTTGTATATTTAGAATTTGTTTTGTAACGTAAATACGTAGTATCTAATTTAGATGTTTGTAAAATAGAACATGTTAATAGTGCCATTCGACTAGATTATGCAATGCTTAATGGGAGCAGTTTGAGGATGTACTGATTGTAATAACGATATTCATTGACCAAATTCAAAAGTAAAATTTAAAAAGCAACTATTTGTACTAAATGTTATTTAAATTAGATAAAATATTGTTATTAAATACCGTGTTAAATAGTGGTTATGTCAAAAACAATCAGGTCAATCAGTTATTTAATATTCCTCGATTTTTAATCATTCAATTGAGAAACAAATCACATTTTTTAAAAAACGATTAAGATTATCTTGAACTCCAAGAATCGCTTAAATTCGTGCTATTTCCATTTAAAATATGAAAATTAAGTACCGATTGTGGTATACTAGAGATTTTTTATTGCTTTCAGAATATCTTATATTGTTGACTCTTTGACAATATTTTATGATAAAGGATACTGATTAATGTACAAGTAATATTTAAAAACAATTCCTTATTGTCCTTATTTGAATGTATGGGATCGAAATTGAAATCATTATAGTATGCACCATGTAGTGTCACATTTTCGTTGTTAACTTTAAGGAATTTAGATATATCATATGTTCTGTCTAAAAATACAACCAATCGCGAATCTCATAAAAGTTCTAAATAACAACATCTGTGAATAATTTACAAGCATTGGTAGATACGCAGTTTTGTACCTTTTTAATGTTCAGACAAAACAACATAATCTTCACAGAGTTTTTAACACCTCGATTGGTACGTACTTGTTAAACTATATATCCTTATGTAAGTATAAAAGAAATAGAAAAAGTTAAATCAATTAACAGACTAAGAAATAATTGGACATTTACCTGGTCAAAAATAAGAAATTTAGAATTTGAAATCAGTGATTGTCTATTTCATGATGAAACTGGGATATTAGAGACTTATATGCCTTCGTTATTTTTCAGCAAAGAAAATATGCGAAACTATGAAATCGTTATAAATGCAACTAAAATAGCTTTACCCCTATAGGTAGGTTATTAAATTTAAACAGATTTTGTTTAACAAATAATATTAAATGAAAATGAGTTTGTGCAAAATAGTCGTAATACAAGTTTTGTGCAACTTTTGTAACTTTGCTTTGCTTCCTGTCAGCTTAAGTTTGAAAAGTGTAAGTCGATTGTGAATTTAGTAACTAGAAAATCGATTTGAGTCCAGTTACATTGCAACCAACTCGCAATAAACAACTAACCTCTGAAAATGAAAAAAGCAGAATGTCCTGTTATTATTGTTACCTTGTATTTTTACAAAATATCGATACTGGTTATTTTCTTATAGGTACATTTTAAAAGATGAATTGCTTAAAATGTCTATATAAAATGCATTTTATTAAGTATCTATATCTAGTTTTTTATTTTGAATACTAGATTTAAATATAGCATCAAATATACATTTTTTACAACAAATGTTATATCACATTTAACGAAAATGTCATGGTCATAGACAAACTGGTGCTGAGTTTATAGCCACTTGAGCAGATTTCTAAGAAAATATAACTTTTCTTAAAACCTCCATAATAACTTTTTTTGTGGCATTTGTTTTGAGATTTATATAATTCTTTACATTAAGATGCTTTTGAAACATTTCATGTGTTTGTTTTATCTGTAGCTTCAAAATTATTAACGTAATAATTAAATGACATATATAAAAGGATTGTAAAATTGTCATTTTGAAAATTAATTTTCCACAAATTATTTTTCAAAAGTTCAGTAACAATAAGCTTAACATCGAAAGGACAGAGGTGCACTTCTCTCTATTTATCATTCCAACATTCTGCTTTTCCATTACTTAACATACTTTTTTTTATTTTTCTTTTCAACTTAACGCATGGTTGTTATCATATTTGTAAACATCTAGCTGAAGAAATAATCTTATCGAATACACAAGTTGCAAATACGCGTAGTACTATTTATAATTTTTCTACACAATTCAGAAAAATATAATGCTTTGAAGGATTTACTACTAGTATTTTTGAATGTCCATTGCTTGACTATAGTTTAACTTATATAAACTAGATTACATACTGAAACTGTTATAAATTAACATCTAAATAAAACACAAATTTGTTTTTTTTAATACTAATTTGAAATGAGATAACCTCTATCATTTTTTGTTTAGTTTTCTAGATAGATAAAAATAAATGCAGCAAATTTGTGGCATCATAGCACAGTTCAATTAACACAATGCTTTGATTGCATTATGTTTAACTTGTGTATTCGTTTCCAATAAATAATGCTGCACGAAATGGCACTAACACATAACCCACAACAATTTTTTTATCCCCCTTCTCGATTATTTCTCGTCTTTTATCATCAAAATTGCAGTGATGTTGTGCAAATTTTGTAACAAAAAAATCCTGTAGAAACAAGAGACATATACTATGAATATACACTATCATAATGTGTCACGAAATCTAAAGTGGAAAGAATCTACCACAATTGGCAAATTTTAACTCTGATTCTCGAGATAATAAAATCAAATACCTAGTTAATATTGTTAAACAATTTATTGACTAAAATTTTATTATATACGTTTAGTGCTAATAAAATTCAGTACCATTTACTGTTTCTATATTTATATATCAAAGAAAATTAATATAGACTCCTATTATAATGAAATGAAATATTTCATTTAATAAAAGGTAAGCGTGGTGCCGTACATTTGTAGCTGTAAAATTAAAGTACACGTGTATTTTTGTCTCTAAATTATTTTCATTCCTTTATTAACTTTAATATGAACATGAAAAGTTTCGAAATTATTAATTTTGTTCGTTTCTTATATTTCATTCTTGTTCCTTAAGTAAAATATTGTTATACGAAGTAACTTTAATAAAACCTTGCTATATCTATTAAGGTTATTTTACAAAGGCACAAACTTCTCAGAATAAAAAAAAGGAAGTTCCCGTCAGCATTATCTATACTTTCTCATATATAGAGATAAAAATTCCTGAAAACGTTTTTTTATGTTCAAAACAAATTGAAAAATAAGTGCACATTGTTCTATAATGTTTTGGCGAATACGAAACATGAAACATTTTCGTCTATTTAATTGTAGACAATAATTTTAGAGTTGAGCAAAATAAAAATCGTTAAAAAATAAGTTCCATACTAAAATAACTGACAATTACAAAATGTGTTCGAATAAAGTCCTTTACTTGACATACACTTTTGAACTCTTTTAATTAAACATTGATAGAGGAACATGTGACGGTATTAATGAGAATATTACAATTTTCCTGAATTCATTATTATATTTCGTCTTTGGCAGGCTATAAATTTTCTCTTTCAAAGCACCCCAAGCAACATGTGTATTTTTATTCTAAACTTGAACGCTCTGTATCTCGAAAATAAAACTTGTTAAAGCAAAACGTTACAGAACACAGTGTATTTATTTTTCAAGAAGGAATCAATTTACAGTTTCAGTATTTGAAATGAAATCATCCTGTATATTAGAAATAAATTGTGCAAAAAACATTTTCAGAAATTTTCAGCTCAAGTTGAAGTTAAGCATTAGCCGACCTATTCTTATGGGAATGTTTTAATTATTTTGAGAATTTGACTTTTGTATGCAGGATGATTCATTTAACCATCACGGAAATCTCACTCTTGGTAAATGGTACAAAGTTGGTCAAATTACAGAAATGTTGTGATGCCTTTCATAGATCACTAGAAAAATGCAATATATGAGAAATACAATTTGCTTTTCGGTGAATAATTTTATAACTATAAACGTTTTCAATTAAATTCTAAAGTTAGAGTGTGGTTTGTAAAAAAATTCACTATTCAATAATGTATCAATTTCTGTCCATATCCGATTGAGTGAAATTTTGACTATATTAGTTTGAGTACAACTAAAACTTTTTGAGTGAAACTATTGCAACAGAGGTGAGTGAATTTTACTCAAATCCGAGTTTCTGCTAGCTATCAAATGAGTGACTTTTTACTCTATTTTGAATATGTAAAACCAATTAAGAGTTGACTTTTTCTCTAATATGATTTAAATTTAACTATTTTTGTGTAATTTTGTACTACTGTACAATAATACTGTACTATGATTGGTTAACTGATCCGACGAATAGATTAACATAACCTATATTGTATGTTACAGATACATAAATAAGTATAAGTAACAATTTAACTATACGTTTATTTAACCAAATATTAATCGAGACTCAATATATTATTATTTTTAAGTATTGTAGTCAACCCTCTGCATTTAAACATAATTTTCACCAAAATAACCGTAGTAACGGACACTTGTCCAGCACTATACGTCATACACCACGCCACGAGATGACCTAATGGGGACGATGGGAATAGACAAAGACAACGCACGACAAACATAGAATGGGCTGAGGTCACTCAATAATGAGGATATTTACTCCGATTTACTTACAACTGTACCAAATACGGTTTATCTGCAGAATTTATTTAACATATTTGAGTGAAAGTTAGTTCAAATATTATCACAAATGAGTAAAATTATCAAAATGCTTAATATTGAATGAAAATGTACTCAATAATTTCACTCAATGAATTCACTCCGTACCTTTGTTGTTTTCACTCACATCGATTTGTAAGATCAGTTTTTTTTGTGGGCGCCACTTTCAATTTTCACATATTTTCAATAAGATCTGAACAATGACATAATTTTACACAGTTCGTCAAGGTCATACAACAAAATTCTAATAAGCACCGACTTATGTAGAATGTTAATTTGCGTAATAACTGAAAATTCAAAAATTCTAATATACAAAGTTATTCAAAACGGAAAAAATTAGTAGTAGTGATGTATAAAAGTTATAAAAAAAACGAAAGTTCGTTAAACAACTTTTTTGTAATATAACCAACTTTGTATCTCTTACCATTTCCGAGATTTCCAGATTGTGCACCAAGAGATAACTTAAGAAATTGATTACATGTTATTTTTGGAGCAATTTTTCACTATTGCATTCACTCTGTAATACCAGTAGAAGTAATATTATACTTTTTAGAATGGCAGAATGTCTTTTTTTTAGATTTCTCGCAAATTATTTTTCAAAACTTGCTATTGCTAACTTGCTGTTTTACATTGACAATTTATTCATCAATAAATTAACAAAGTTCTTCATCAATTAATTCACGAATTTATTGGTAAACAGTGTGGTTTTACACTGCTACAAACTTTGTCAAGTTTTTTGACGTATGAATCAGTTCTACCAATGAATCAAAGCAAATAAATTTCAAAAATGTCACCTTTCCAGTCATAATTGTAGTGATACAACTACGGTACCGTTCTGACACATATTATATAAATATTAGTTTTCGTAAATAACAAATCAGTAAAAACTTGGCAAAACTAGTCCAACGCCACACAATTATTTACATATTCAAATAACATAACCTCATTACTGATCTGGGGCTGGAAATCTGTTGGGTTGGTACTTCCGAACTTCACGAAGAAATTGACGAAAATTAGAACATGCTCTAATTCGTCAAGAACTTGATGAATAAATTGATGAAGTTATTTGACAGCTGATTCGGTGCATTACACTTGTCCAATTTCTTGATGAAGCGACTTCATGAATAAATTGATCAATAAATTGTCAATGTAAAACAGCTTTAAGAAACAATCGAGAAAGGTTTCCCCCGCTTTCAATCATGCATGTCTTGTGAAATCGGTGGTTATAGTTCTAGGTGGCTTTAGATGGAAATGGCTGAATGTGTCGTTGGGGCCGTACGTGCGAGCGATCGAGCAACCTGTCATTTTCCTACTTCCGGTCGCCAGCTCTCACCGTTTCCGGCCTGCCGGCGTGGCGGACCCCGTGCCAGGAGCGCGTTTACACAGGGCCCTCGTCTCGTATGAATTCTGTAAATGCACTATCTGGTACGACAGTCCGCCATGTGCACGCTCCAATGCACACGCAATGCGATCTCTTTAATGCAACGCACACTCTAGGTGTCACGATTAGATTGCCGCCGCTGCGAGTTTGTGGACTCGGTGTCTCGTGCTTTCCCTTCCCTGTGATAGATTTGATGTACGCCTTTCTTGACATCCGCGATTGCAGATTTTGTATTTAAACGAATACGAAATACGTGAACAGTATAAGACCAGAGATTCCTTGATTCAAAATACTTCCATATAGATCAGCGGTTACCAAAATTTTTTCATTCGCGGATCGTCAAACGACAGCATTTTTTTCTGAACCGGTAAGGTCATTTACATAATTTTAAATAAACTTTTGCAGCGTAGAAGAACAATCTGAAATAAATAAATATCAGGATAAAATAACAAAAGGATACGGAAAGGAAAAGAAAAGAAACAATAATTTTTAATTGTTCAAGACGTAATTAGATTTTGAATTTTTTAAATAAGATGTATACATACATAAGTGGCAATAATGAACGTAATGAATTTACATAAAAATGTAAAAAAAAAAACAATATTTATAGACCTTATATTACAGTTTTGCTGCTTTTCATTTAATATTTTTTGTGAGCGGCTGTATCTTATCTTTAAAATTTTTAAACTTGATAGTGTAGAAAATATTCCTGTGTTAGAAAAATCAATGCGTGCTTCCTTATTTTTAATATTCAGATTGGTACACGAAAACGAATATATTAAAAATTTACGTAATGGGTGTTTGCATAAAAAAATGTGTTGTGTTAGGTATGCTATTCTATGTAGAATGAAAGTTAATGCGGACTTTTTTTATATAAGTAATTTAATTGTGACACTATTGCACTAGACTATGGGCATGTTATTACAGAAAACGTATTTATCTTATGAAATAAAAGAATGGCAGTGGTGTGAGATTTTAGTTGAACTTCTTATCAATAGACGGCGCTATTAAGCACGTAACAGCTGCTGGTCAATTTTTTTGCCATGTCATTACATTTTACGGCAATATTTGAAAGAGCAAACACCCAATTGTGGCAATTATAGAAAAAATACGACTAACTACAATTTGTGCCACACAATACTAAAAAATTGTATTTAAAATATAGTATTTAATTTTACTACAGTTTTGTGAAATATATTCACAATTGCATGAATTAAAGTTGTAACATCTAGCGATATGAAAACTTCTGTGGAGACAAACATATTTGTGCAAACACTGTTGCCATAATAGGACTTCATTTTTTAATACCTATGTTTTGTTCCTAAGAATAAACACATTTTTCGTGTTTTCTTGGAATAAAAATTTCGGTAAAATTTTTCTGTAGATCGACACTATACAGGGTGTCCTATAAGGAGTTGTACATAGAGTAACAGGTGATTTATGACGTCATAATAATGTGATCTGGTCAAACTTACCTTAGTTCAAAAGCTGGTAGTAACGAGCTACAAGGTGTCAAAACCAAAGTTTTATGTTCAATTTTTTTAAAAGACCTTCGAAGTAATTGATCGATTTAAACTAAATTTGGTATCCTGGGAGATTTTAGACATGAAAAATTCAAATTTCCTCATAATTTTGACATACATTCTAGAGGGCGCCACTTACCTTAGAACTTCACAAAATTTTTGGTACACACTGTATCTTATTTTCTGGTAGCAGTATCTCTTTTTCCATCAGTTTTATATCAAAAAAGTGTATCTTAACATCGCTAGAAATTACCGTTCTCGAGATATTTGCATTTAAAAGATTCAATGTGATTTAAACTGTAGGTAGATGAACTTTATATAAATAGTCGTACAAACAAAAACAGAAACAATGAAAAACGTTTTCTAAACTAGTTTATGCCAAACTTGTCATTTAATTAGTGTTAGAATTTAGATTACTGCTGAGTTTCTACAGAATTTGGCAAATCGGTTACTATCAATTTTTGGACTACGATAAGTTTAGCCAGATCACTATTATGACGTCACAAATCACCTGTTACTCATGTATAATTCATTATGGGACATCTTGTTTATTGAAAAAATGTAAATTAGCGTTGATTTTTGTAATTAAGTAAATTGGTTCAAGTTGGCTTATTTTGATCCAAGGAATCTCTGGTCTGTAAAATACGTTGTATCGCTATTTACTTCGAATAATATTATTTATCTGAAAACTAAACTTGACAAATCCACAAATTGTAGAGGGTGTCTAGAAACTATTAACAAAAATTTACGGGATAATAACTTTTTTTAGTTAAACATTTTTTTTCTAATTCAATTATAGGTAACAAATTGTACCTACCAAAAAATCATAACATTTTTTAATCTATAGGAAAAAAAATGATCTTCCTTGACTGTAAAATTTATCAGAACTATTTTATTTGCAGTGTTAGATAATTAAAAAATCATATTTTATTCTTTTATTCAAATTGAAAATCATCTCTACGATTTTTTGAAAATCTGTAAATAATGCAACTATTTTTACGTTTTTTTCAAAAGCATGTATTTGGAACTCTCCTATTTATCCACAGAATTACATAGGTAGGTAGTTAACTATTTCAATATTATTACCCAATCAAAATTCTACAAATATTAAACGGATACTAAGTCTATATAATTTATTTAGTTACCATAAAATATTACGATGTTCTGTCTTATGAATTTTAATGTAATGCTTAAATTAATTTAAAAGTAATAATCTTCTCTGCTATAATTAAGTTTACAACAATCTGTTTAGTTTGTAATAAATACGAATTATTTAAATAATTATTCATAACTGAATTTATACTGCCTTGATTTTACAATTACTTTGAAAGCCAAACAGCATTTTTTAAATACGTATCAGATTTATAAACGAGAAATGACAATTTAAATATAAATAAAATATAAATTTGTATGACTTTTAATATTTGAATTTGTATTTGCAATAACTGGAAATTTAATTTTATAAATTAAGCTTTTGAATAGTATTGATGTCAAATAATCACTCGTTATCTCATCCATTTGTTCACGGTTGATTTTAATTTTAAATGCTGGAGGTACCAACAGCTCTCTGACATCACGTTGATAATTGAAAAATAATTAAATTGTCAAATATAATTCCATATAGTTTAGTAAGGAATGGTATATGTATATTGTATACTATTATTTTATATACAAACTACAGTACACTTTACTTTTAATATATTTGATTTTAATTTTTTCGAGTATTACAAAATTCGATCAAATGTTCGTTTGAAAATAGCTCGAAGCCTTTGATATATTTTGGTAAACATGTTTTGATCGAGGTGTATGACCGTGATCAACCAACCGAGAGTCCGACGTTCATAAATTTCAGTTGCTATTTTTCTAAACTGTCATTTTTATTCATATTAATAATTGTATCAATATTTGATATATTGTCATTTATAGTTATATTAGTTTAACATTAGGAAGTATACTAACAACCACATAAATGGATTTAAAATAAAATGAAATTGGTAAGTTGTAAAGATGTTAAATATTATTTATGAATAATTAATAGTATTTCATCATTGTAGATTATCTGTGTATATAGTAATTGTTTATATAAAAAAAAATAAGATTATTTAAAATTGTTGTCAGTTTGGTGCCTAATAAAAGTTTTAAGGTTTCTACATACTTGTCTTATTTTATCTGTGTGTCTACAAAACTTGTACTAATAGGATAGGTGTCTTAAAATCAGTATTTCGTTTGCTATTTCATTATAAATACATTTGTTGCCTTATTTTCTGTGTTAATGCTTAATTTGGAAATTATTTAATAAACTTTATCTACTCATTGATTTCAATGTACAGGACATTCTAATAAACATGTCCCATGTAACTCTTGTACTGTGTAACAAAAGAACATGGTCATAAATGAAGTAACGTTTTCCTCGTTCAAATTTACGAATGTTTTCTTATCTATAAGAAACCCTTGCAGTCTTCGTTTTTGAGATACAATTGCCGATATTGAAATGTAGTGCTGTTTGTGTAAGACCTGAATAAAATGCCATTCAAAGTTTAAAGAAATACATATGCCTTTGCTGAAATCAATGGTGCGGATACAAGTTGTGCTGATTATATTTTGCTAAGAAATACGTCACTCAGAAATATTTGAGATTCAAATTTTATGTATTTTTTTTAATTGTGTATTTTTTATTCGCTGTTGTTCTTTCTACTTTACTTTAAAGTTGTTATATTACTTCAAATAAATTTTCCTAAATGCTTATCAAAATATGTCATAATACTTTGATACCAAAAATCTAGATACATAAACTACAAAAATCTGACTGCAGCTAATAATTAATAGTTAATACTTAAAATATTGCTTAGGTTAAAAATCAGTTCATTAAACAGTTTTAATATTGCCGCTTCAAAATTTAATTTTTTCTAAAAGTTTTATTTTTTGCATATACGTAATTTAATTCTAATATTCAGATATTTGTTATTTTCATTTAAAAAGAAAACCACTTGCAATCCTTAAATACAGAAACAAGTCAGATTTCATTCTATCTTAGTATAGGTACTTTATAAATAGTTTAAATATGAAAACCATAACTTTCTTCATTAATAATATTTAATTTAGATCAGTTTTTTATTTTAGGTAGTAGAAGTATTAATGAACTAGCTTGTATATGAAGTAACATTTCATTGGCATACATATATTTTTGATATCAACGATTTTAAGAAAAAATCTGTATCAGCTTAAATACCATTAAAGCAAAAGTAAATAATGCAAATTTTATTTTGAACTAAAAATTATCTCTTGAGACTTTTGTATAGTTTTCAACTGTTTTATACCCGTCTACAGAGTGTTATGTTTAAACGCCTCAGCCCGATATGTCGAAAACAAAAACAAATACGATAAGGTCTAAAAAATGGCTAATGATTTGTCTAAGTGACTTAATCCTACCCTTAATTATATAACTCATCGTAGCATAATTTAGTATTTTTATGCTCATAATTTAATGGTTTTTCATATGGACCACTTTCCAAAGATTGTGTCATCGAAAAATGTCTTTGTTTCGCTCCGCCGACTTTACTATAAATTTATTGTTCTTTTGAAAAGTTAAAACAGTTTTTTTCTGGATACTAACTTGATTCATAAAACTTATCAAATTTGTTCCTACC